GAGTCGAGAATCACATCTTCGTGTTCGGTGTTTGGTTCAGTTTTATCAGAAGCTACTGGTACAGCATGTGATTGATCAGTCTGTAGATGTTCTATCGCGAAGTCTGCCATTTCATAAAATGTAACATTTACACTCTCGATGATAGTGCGCTTGTCTCTGAGATAGACTCTGTAAGCTTTGGACTGCAGTGAGTAGCCAATAAACACGCCTTCTCTGGCTTTGGGGTCCAGCTTACTTCTCTCTGTCCGATCATTTAGTATGAAGCACTTGCAGCCAAAAACCTTGAAGAAAGAGATGTCGGGAGTTCTATTGAAGAGGATTTCATATGGAGTCTTGTCGAAACGTTTATGGATGGATGTTCTGTTCTGAGTGAAGCACGTAGTATTGATTGCCTCTGCCCACATGAAGTGAGGCAGTCTGGATTGGATTAACATGGTGCATGCTGCTTCAACAAGGGTTCTGTTCTTTCTCTCAACAACTCCATTCTGTTGGGGAGTTTTAGCTGCTGCAAATTGCTGAGTGATACCAAGTGATTCATAGAACTCAGTGAGAGTTTGATTTTTGAACTCGGTACCATTGTCAGTTCTAACAATTCAAGCACTATGCTGTAGCAGTTTCTGGATGGTCCTGATAAAGGTCATAATGTTTTCTGCAGCCTCGTCCTTTGAACGGAGAAATTTTGTCCATGTGTACCTAGAGAAGTCATCAACGATCACCAGAGTGTATTTGCGACCGTTGATGCTTTGGACTCTCATGGGTCCACACAGATCCATGTGAATTAGCTGCAGCTGACGTGTAGATGATGGTTCTGTTTTGGACTTGTGGGAGCTTCGCGTCATTTTGCCCATTTTGCAGGCACTACAATGATTTTCAGCGGAAGACTTTAGCAGAGGAAGCCCCTTGACAAGTTTCTTGGAGGACAAGGTTGATAGATGTTTGAAGTTCAGATGGGAGAGACGTCTGTGCCATAGGTTGTTCTGTTCAGTTGAAGCTTTGGACAACAGATAGATGGAAGTGGTGGATTGGACGCTTTTTAGATCAATAGTGTACAGATTTGATGTTCTGTAACACGTTAATAATGTATTCCCTGTGCTGTCAAGAACGCAACATTGTTTTGCAAAGAACCTCACTTCCATCCCGCTGTCACAGAATTGTCCTATGCTCAGTAAGTTGTGTTTGAGCTATTTGACAAATGAAACGTCTTTTATAGTGACACTGGCACAGATGACGTCCCCATACCCAAGAATAGGAGATGAGGCGTCATTCCCGAATCTGACATTGCCTCCGTAGCAGTTGGTGTAGTTGCTCAATAGGTGTTTTATTCCGGTCATGTGGGTTGAGCATCCTGAGTCTAAGTGCCACACATGACCGTCCTGCAAATCAATCAAACAGGTTTAGGTACCCATCTTGGAGTTGGTCCTTCCTTATTATCAAAAAACACCTTTCTAAATCTTGCTTTTAGCTGTGATCCAAGGTCAGCAGCTCTTTCAACAAAAGATCTTTCTCTTGTGGGCTCTCCAATAGCCAGATCTGCTTTTGCAGTGAGTCTGGTTTTTGGAGCCCACTTAGCAGTTTCCATTCTGGTGGGTCTGATGTTGTGAACCCACTTTTCTGTTTTAGTTCTGGTGGGTCTAAATTTGGGGACCCACCTTTCTGTTTCAGTTTTGGTGGGTCTGCGATTGTGGACCCACCTATCCGTTTCAAGTTTGGTAGGTCTCATCTTGGGAACCCACCTTTTCATTTCAGTTTTGGTGGGTCTTATCTTGGGGACCCACCTTTCCGTTTTAGGTTTGGGAGGAGAGTAGACATGTGCTTTGTGATTGAATGGTTGTTTCTTAAGTTTGGTTTTGAAAATCTCCTCTTTAGAAAGCCGATTAAGATATTTCCTTGAATGAACTCGAAGAGCATATTTCATATCAGGAATACAAAATGTTCCTTTAGAAGTTCTTTTCTTGGTTTCTCTTTCTGGTTTGAGCTTTCTGTGAGGCTTTGCTTTAACAACATTCACATCACATTCATAATTATGGGGGTCTGGAAAAGAATAACCATAAGCAATACTTGAATTATGAACAGAACGATGTCTAGAAGAAGTCTCAGAAATATTTAGCATGGGACTCAAGACTGAACTACTAGAAGTTTATTTTGTAGAGACAGAATTACAATTAACTTTAGAGTAAAAAATAGAACTAGATCTAGGACTGACACTATTCTCAAAAACTTTCTTTTTGCCTTCTGCGATTTCCTTCCTCTTGTTCCTCCACTCACTCTTCTCTTCTCCTTCCTTCTTAACTTCATTTCCTGTAAACAAAGGAGAAGAGAGATGAGTAGACGAACCTTTTAAAAACTTGGTTTTCTCAGGTGAGGTGTGTGAGCTGTCAGGCTTAGAAGTAGAAGGGGCTGTTTTAGCATGATACTGCTCACTTAATTCATTGAACTTTTGAAGAAGTTCCTGCCAGTTGCTCTCAAAACCTCTCTTTTCAGTTTCAAATCTCTCTCTCTCGTTATCAAGGGTTTTCTGAAGGTTTTTGAGTTTTTGAGCCATAGGAAAAATACAAGGTTCCTCTCCAGTTTTAGAGATACCTACTCTTGGGGGAGGGTCTAGATGATGTCCTATGTGAGGAATATCTTTGGCATAAGGGTCAAGACATTCACTAAAGCAGGAACTAGATTTTTCTTGTGAAAGTTGTTTTTCATTTACAGAGGGATAATCACAAGAAATCGCAGATTTAGGATTCTTTCTCTTTTCTTCTTCTGCTTCAGCGTTTTCTTCATCACTTCGAAAATACACTTTTTCACCAAACCCTAGTCCCATGTAATCTTTGTTATAGATTTGAAGGCATCTAACTTTCTTTAGATTACATGGGTTGGTTATGCCCAGTCCTATTCTAGGATTGTAAAATCGGTCATCCTTTATCTTATTCAGAAAGATTGTCTGTTCAGACTGACCTCTCTTAGCAGCTAGATCCTCTAGTTCTTTTATTTTGTTTAAAAGTATTCTTCTCTTGTTATGCAAAAAATCGCATTCAACCTTTGCTGTGCTTTTTTCTCGTTCACTATCCTCAAATTTCCTAGTTAATTCAGCTATCTTAAGTTCAAAACTTTCAAAATCTGAGGACACCTTTTTGACCTGATCTTTCGCAATTTCAAGTTGAACACTTAGAGAAGACTTTTGGTCTAGATTCTGTTTCAGCACCCTGTGATTATTGTCTAGTCTCTCCTTTAGTTCTTTAATTAGATTGTCCTTCTCAAGTAAGGACTGTATTTGATTATTTAAAGGAGTCTGAGAGGTACTTACAGAGCTTGTTGAGCATTCACTTTCGGGGATCGCAGCATCACCCATTCTTTCTTCTTCTTCCTCCACTCGTGCCATCAGGGCATAGTTATCTTCCTCCTCCTCCTCCTCAGAAGAATCTTCTGCCTAGTTATCTTTTTCAGCAATCATTGCAGAAGTTTCTTCTTCTTTCTGCACCATCAGCATTTTCTGCTTATTCCACAACATCTTCTGCTTGTAGAAGTTAGCATCCTTCTTCTTTGGGAGGCGGCAGTCTTTGATGACATGTCCAACCTTACCGCAATTGTAGCATTTGGGAGCATCTTCAGCTGATGGCGCCTTCCTAGAAGATCCTTGATCATGGTTCTTCTGTTTGTAGTTTGAGGAGGAGGTTCTCAGCTTGTTGGAGGAGCTGTTCTTCTTAGCAAATCTCTTGGCAAGTAGTGCCATCTTCTTCTGTAAGTCTGCAAGCTCGGCCTCCAGATCAGATTTGTCGTCATCACTTTCATCATCGTCTGATTCAACCACCACCTTCTTCTTCTTCTTCAGTGGTGTGGTTGTCCTTTTGGGCTGAGCTTCCATCACAAGAGCTAGAGGATTTGTGGTGTGATGATCCTTGGCACAAGCAACCTCATTGACAAATTGCTTCAGATGTTCATATAGAGTGCAGAGGTCAATTTCATCCAAGTCAATGCGAGATCTAACATCCTTCACTGTCTTTTCCCACGCAGGATGCAGGGTGGATAGAAATCTAATATTCAGTTCCAAGTTGGACCTGAATACTTTGATTTTTCTAAGTTCATTTACCAGTTGAACGAGTCTGTTGTAGGTCTCGTTCAATGGTTCTCCTGGTCCTGCTTTGAAGGAGTCATAAGCAATAAAAATTGTAGTCTTCTTGGTCTTAAGGCTAATGCTTGTGCCTTGGAGCAGTTTCTCTATCTCATCCCACATTTCCTTAGCTGTTTGCATGCTATCGATGAGAACGTATACTTCATTGGGGATTGCTTGAAGAAGGTATGTTTTGGCCATGAGATCACCACGAAGCCTGAGTCTGTCAGCTTCCGTGTATTCAGATGCCACTTTCCTCATTTCTGGAAGAATAGTAGAGTTGTTTTCTGGATCACCACCAACTGAAATCATGAGTTCAGCTGGTCCTTCAAGCAAAGATTCAAGCATCGCAACGGAGTTCTCTTTGTGCTCAAGCAAATTAAGGAATCGATTCCTCCACATTTGGTATTCTCCCTTCCTGAGACTAGGAGGGGTACTGCTGTTCCCTTGCGCATTGAATTCTGAGGCCATTGCTGTATTAAACTGACCGTTCGAGATAATTGATCAAAAGATTTTCAGAGGCAGAATGTCGAAAAATCAGATGTCGAGATCTGAATATCGAGATCTGAGATTTCGATAAAGGAGGCCCAGTATCGAGATTTGAGCTCGAGATTGGGATGTCGAGATTAAGGATCTCGAGATTTCAAATTTCGAGAAGAGGATCTCGAGATTTGAAATGTCGAGAAGTTAAAAACTTGAAATCTTATTTCGAGAAATCAAATGTCGAGACCAGATGTCGGAACCTTAAACTCGAAATCTTTGATCTCGAGATATAGATGTCGAAATCCTCAATGTCGAAATCCTGCAATCTGTAAAAATCAGATAAGCAAAATCTGAAGGTAGTTTCCTGTAGAGTAGGATGTCGAGATCCTTAGGTAAAGTTTTCAGCTCGAAATACCTGGCAGAACCTGCTTAAAACCTAGATGTTGACAAAGGCTACTCGAAATATCTCAAGTACAAAATATGCGTAAAACGAAATCTGAAGTATACCCCTTGATCGCTTTTAAACGATGATTCTAAGGGTGTAACTTTTACAACTTTTGAACAAGAAACAAGATTACAGAGTGAAATATCGACAAAAAGAATAGCGTAAAAAAAACAGTCTTCTGCAGGCGTTCTTCTGATCGGCTCTGATACCAATTGATAGTCCCTGTTTCTGTAACAGCAATGATAATCAGTCTAACAAAGAAGATTAAACGTAAAGATGAACACATATTGAATCAATGTAAAACCCTCTTTGATAGACCGTGAACTCGTACACAGAAAGATATGCGCGTAAGGCTATAGTGAATAAGTACGACGTTAACCTAATCCTAAACCCTCGACTCCCTTTTTATAGGCGAGGTTTAGGTTAGGCGTAAAAGGCTTTTAGCCTGTTTGTATGGGCCTAACACTTGGCCCATATTTTATCTAATACATGCACTAATTTAATACAAGGAATAATAATAAAGCTAATCTATGACAAACTTGATTCACAATTAAAATATCTCCAACATTATCGAATAACACACCTTTGACTTCGTTAAAAGAAAACTCATATAATTGTTTAAGATAGTCAAAATCATTAATCTTCCGTTGGGCCGGTCATTGAATTTGACACCAAGATAATTAGTTAATAATCCATACTATAACTTTGAATATGGAATAATATTGAAACCGTGTTGTTAATCTTACAACCACCCACTTCCAACTGCATATAAGTTCATAAACAAAGTTTCTAATTTGCAGTAGTAATACGTTGTACTATCCGATTTGAGTGATTCCAGTTTGCACTAGAATAAAGTAAGAACAACAACTGACAACTAACGTGGTTGTTCCTAAAACAAACTCATGGCTTGCAAATTTTCATAAATAAAAAAATTGTAGATTGTATATATAAATAATACTGTACAATTTGGAAAATTGGCAGATCCAAAACAAAACAAATGTTTTTCAGATTCTGAAAAGCAAACTGATCGACATAGTTTTATTTTAAATCACCAAAAGCAAACAAACTGATTCAAATCAAAAGTGAATTTCAGTTTTAAACAATTTTGCAGTTGCAATATAAACTGATATTTAGTTTTTTCAATCAGTTTTAAACTAAGTAGCACGGAAACAGGAAACGGGAAACGGGAAACGTAGGAAATGCCATTTTCCAAAAATACGGGACACGAAACGCGGGGGAAACGCGGAAATATTAAAAATATATGGGTTAATTTATAAATATTATATATACATATTTGTGAATTTTTTTATATGTATATATATATATATTTATATTTACACACACACATATATATATGTACAAACATGCCACATGAGATTATTTCATCATATTGAAGTCTACAATTATTGAAATCTTAGTTCATAAAAGTATTGAAATCTTGGTCCATAACAAAACATTAAACACAACATCCATAATCTTAGTCCATAAAAGTATTGAAATCTTAGTCCATAACAAAACATTAAACACAACATCCATAAAAACAAATTAAATTGTAGTGGAGGCATCTTCCACAGGAGCAACATCTTCACTAAAAAAGACACGTTCAAGATCAGGTTCATCTAGTGATAGATTTGCAAACTCAAGAACACCAACATCTTCCAAGCTTGCAAATTGATCCCCACCAACATCCCACATCATAGTGTTCTCATCTTCATACTGGGCAGAATTTCTTGAAAGTAAGCGCAGATTATTGTGAATGAACACCAAATCTTCTGCACGCTTCGGATTTAATTTGTTCATTCTTAGTGAATGGATAAAAGAATAAGTACTCCAATTTCGTTCACAACGGGATGAAGAGCTAGGTTGCCCAAGCACTTTAAATGCCAATTTTTGGAGTAATTGTGCACCTGATCCATACACTGCCCACCACTTTCTAGGATCCGTATCACACATAGCAGCAATACGATCTGGGTTGCTAAACGGACCAATCTTCAAAGAGAAATTAGCATATTCATCAACAGCCTTAACACGCTCTTCAGAAGGAAAAAATCGCCTAAAACACTTATTTCTCTCTAAAGAAAGTTCATTATCCATATGTGGAGGCGATCTCCCAACTCCTTCCTGGATCCATTTATCACTATAATACCTACAATTTATAACACAAGTACATATAATATATAATTATAGGAGTTAAATAAATAGTTAATAGGGGAATTAAATTAAAACATAAATAAATACTGCGGATTTAAGGAATGAGCTAAGCAATGAAGCGGGGTGTTGTTCTTCGTCCAACGTTCAACTAGAATGCGATGAACAACATAGTTAAAGGGAGAATATTCACCATATGTTTTTTCTTTCATGCACAAAGATAGTCATTCTCACCTTTTCAATCATCGAGTCCCACATCTCGTAAACCAAATGGAGGCATGGTTTGTCATTATCACAAATTCTAATCATATCATAGATAGGACCAGTGAACTGCAATATGTAATCAACCTTCTCCCACCAACCTTCATCTAAAATCTTTTCTCGCACAAATTTAACCTTTCCTTGATCATCATCTCGATATTCTTCCCATTCCTCACTCAAAACCATTGCTTTTAAAGCACGTCTCAAAAGTTTAAACCTCTTAAGCATGACAATAATAGAAGCAAAGCGAGTATCAGCAACTGAAAGCAACTTCAATGTGCTAAATCGGCAGAACATAGAAAACCTCATGGAATGATTCATTAAGAAATTTTTATGTGCACCGCATCTCCATGAACTTCTGTGATCCAATGACACTCTTCATACGTTTCTGCATTTGTTAAGAGTGTGAACAACACAAGAAGTCCAATAAATATGCGGAAATAGACCTTCAATAATTTCTGGCATTATCGGTGATTACTTGAATGACTTTGTGATCACCAATCTCATTAATAACATCTATCAATATATTAACAATGAAATGCTTATCCTTTACCTCCCCTGAACAATCGACAGCTTTGATAAACATTGGGTCAGCTTCACAAACAACCATCACATTAATTAGTGGCCTCCTTTGTGGATCACTCCATCCGTCACTAACTATGGTCACACCTTTTTCATACCAAGTGGTTTTTATAGGTTCCAAACACATCTCCACGTGTGCTTTCTCCCGTTGAAGTAATGTAGTTTTCAACTTATTATAACCGGGAGGTATATATCCATCCAAATTATGATTAGTAGCAAAAGTATATCAGCTAATATAATATGGGTTTCTTGCAAAATTGAACGGAATACCTCCGGTGAAGAACATCCTTGCAATCTCTTCATCTAGCTGATTCCTAGTTTGCCAATCAAAAGCTTTGGAAATGGGCGAGTCATCGACTCTTCTTTTTTTCAACATCTCTAAATGACTTGGTTCATTTATCGATAAATAGGTTGAGCTGCTTTGCGTGCTACTAGTAGGCAAGGATACTCGCTTAGGTTGTGAACCGGCAATTTGCTTTGCAGCATCTTCTTCAAGCCTTTTCATTTCAAAAATACTCTCCAACCCAACCTTTGGACATACAGCAATTCCTTTTGAAGGAAGTTTGAGTAAATGAGCTCTCACTCTGGTGTATGTCCCCTGTTTTTGGCTACCACAAAAGTTACAGATCCATTTCACATTGCCACCTCCATCACCAGTTTTTTGGAGTCTTTTAACAAATTGCCACAAATGACTACTTACATCCTCTTTAAATTGTGTTGTATTATTAACACTGTCCTCCATCACTAGAGAATTAAAATAATCTAAGTTACACAATATACAATAAAATATTAAAAATTAATTGAATATACAAAAAAGAATTGAATATAAAAAATTAATTGAATATAAAAACACTCTCCTCCATCAGACCTGCAGACCATCACTACTTTCCTTGCGTTTCAGTTTAAAAACGAAGGAACGAAATTAAAACGAAGAAAACAATGACCTGCGAAATTAAAACAAAGAAAACGATGACCTGTGAAATTAACGCAGATAGCGAGATACCTGAATTGATGACCTGTGCGCTGGAGAAGTCGGCGAACGAAGGAACAATGACCGCTGCAGGGGACGACCTCTGGAGAAGCTGGCGACCGCTGCTGAAGCCTGGGACGATGACTATTGTGCGTAGGCCGTAGGGTTGAAGAGCGAAGACCCGGAACGATGAAAGAAAGATTTGATTTCCGCTGTTTAGCCGGCCTTTTTTTAATCGGAACTAAGAAACGCATTTCCAAACTTCTCTATATTAAGAAACGGCCCAGTATACGCGTTTTTGGCGTTTCGTACGCTCGGAAACGTTCGAACATTTCCGAAACGCGGAAACTCCCAGACCCAGACGTTTCCGTGTGTTTCAGGTTTTAAAGCAAACAACTTGCGACAATGGCAAACAATCTGCACTTGATCCACATATACATCAC